CTTTCCCTAGTCTCGGATCCACCAGCTCCAAGAGATTGTTCTTCTCCTTCAGAACATGGACCTGAACCCACAAGAAAAAACCAGGAGGATTCGTGGGTTTAGATCTTTATGAAATAAATGCTCAAGCTTTATCAAGTTTAGCAGAGTTTTAAGGTTAAAGTTTCGATCTTTAGAATCTGTTTTCTGGGGAATCTTTGAAAGTTTCCACATTTTTGAAAAGGTCTACGGTTAAAGATTAGCATTTTCTGGGTTATCTTTCTGGTAAAAGATATATATATTTACCCAGTCGAGAAGGTAGAATGCATTATCCTTGGCTCGTGAGCTCGTGTTGCTCCTCCCGCATACGATCTCCAAAGCCACGACTCCGAAGCTGTAAACGTCTGCTTTATCGGTCAAGTGGCCTCTCATGGCGTACTCTGGAGCCATGTATCCACTGCAAAAGCCCAAAGAACAGGAGAGTATTTTTTAAAAAAAAAACACAACCTTGACAGAGGAGTCTCCTGTCTATCACGCCAGAATTATATGGTGTTTTCATCATCCATGGCTGTTAAGGTTTGGTTAAACTTACAAGGTTCCAGCAACACGGGTGCTGATATGGGTGTTTTCTTCCTCGTCGAGCTTGGCCAGGCCGAAATCCGATATCTTCGGGTCCAGTTCTTTGTCCAGCAAGACATTGGTGGCTTTGATGTCTCTGTGCACAATCTTGAGTCTCGATTCTTCGTGGAGATAGGCAAGTCCTCTTGCTATCCCGACACAGATCTTCTGCCTCGTCGGCCAGTCGAGTTTTATCTGAGTTGCTTCAGGACCTTTTACAGTGAGGAGATCATAGTTAAAAAAAGCTCTTCTGGATCGAGGTTAAGTCCATGCGTTAAGGGGAAACCAGACAGTGACTAACCGAAGAGAGCTCGGGCCAGGCTGTTGTTTTCCAAGTACTCGTAAACTAACAAGAGCTGGTCTCCTTCCACGCAGCATCCGTATAATTTAACCAGATGAGGGTGCTGCAGAGCTGAAATCATACCGATCTCGTTCAAGAATTCCCGGTTTCCTTGCTTTGATTTTGCGGATAGCTGCTTCACCGCGATTATGGTTCCATCCGGTAACTTGCCCTGTTGTCATATGACACAAACCTTAAACTCAATCTTCTCATTTTCTCTCTAGTATCTGTCTTTAACGTTTGAGTTTTTGTGCTAACCTTGTATACGGGGCCAAACCCGCCTTCTCCAATCTTGTTGGAATGGTCGAAGTTATCGGTGGCTGCTTTGATTTGTCTCAACGAGAAAGAGTTGATCTGGAAATCGAGGTTCTTGAAGTCTGAGACATGAACACAACAGACAATAACTATGTCAGAAACCAACACAAATCCTGTCAAATCCAAATGTTTGAGAGATTTTAATCCTGTCTTAAAGTTACCTCGTTCCATCTGACTCTTGGTTCTTAGACATCCTCTCCACCAGAGAATGCCACCGAACAACAACACGAGAAAGACTGTTGAACCGATTACTATCCCCACCACTGCACCAGCAGAGATCCCTCCGTCACTTCCACCGACAGTTTCTTCTTTTGGCGGGATGAAATCTGTTGGAAAACATTATGAATCAGCATGGTTGAATCTTTTTTGTCTGATTCTGATACTGACTTGGTTTTAACAAGTTTACCTGCAGGATCCACTGATATAGCCGATATTAAAGAACCGTAAACACCTCTCAAGGGCATGCCTGTAGTCCCTTTTCCAGCCCAGAAAAGCCGTATCTCCAACGTGTCATTCCTTATCGTGACGGGAAACTTCTTCACAACAGCGTTTCCAGCCCCTCCCGCCTCATCTGCAATGTTGAAATCCTTTTCCACCAGCTTCCCCTGCAAAGTCTCATCGGAACAACATCAGTTTCTACCCTCCTTACTTGTCGAATTTCAGAGAGTAACAGACATTCAGACAAATGATTCCGGGTACCTGAATGTATATGTCGAAGAATCTTCTACCCAAGCTGTTATACGTTTTGTCATTGGTAAACATAATCTCGGCGAAATGGAGATTAACCGTGTAGTTTCCAGTTCCAAGGCACAATGCATAGTAAGTGAGCGAGATGGCCGAAAGACGGGCTTGCGCATACAATCGTGGGTCCGTGACATTGAGCCGGGTAGAATTTGACCAGATGGTTACTCCCTCGGGTGTACGGTCATCATCCAAGAAGTTTCCTGTGTTACTTGAGAACCAACCGTTTCTACTGTCATAAAAAGGTGCAGGAAGTGAATCCATCTTGTCAGCGTCGTACTTAGTCCTGTTGATTGTCACTTCGTCGCCTCCACAGTTTATATGAAGACCATAGAAAGCTGAAAGAACACAAGACAAGACACGACTGTTGAGTTTCGACAAAAGGGTATAAATGTATGTACGTGCATATACGCAATATCGAATCTTACTTTTAGGACAGCGATAGCTGTTCAGACAGGTAATGTTTCGGCTGCGGGAAGCAAAAAACTATGTATCAATCTTCTTGTGAACTTAGAATGAAAATGTTAAGGATGATGAAAAGAGTGAAAACTTACGAGCTAATCGTAGCTGAAGTACTCGAAAACATGTTGCTGCAAGACATAAAATGGAAACACAAAACAGTAAGCTCCATGACAGATCAGAATCTGTAAAAACACCGATGATAAGGACATGGAATTTCGGAAGTGAAATATCATTCTTACACGCCCTTGCGTTGGCACTCTAAAGTGGTTGGATCTACGGCGAAATTGTTATACGTAAGATCGCTGAAAAAACAAAGTTCGGAAAACTTAGCAACGTGTATTCTTCAGCTATTCTTTTACAAAACAAAAAGTTAGGTTACATCAGTGAAGTAAACTAACATTCTGTCTCCCTTGTCTACCATCCAACTCGGGACCGGTCCGTTTAGCATATTGTGTGTAAAATATCTGCAAGAACGGGAAAATTCCGCGTTTTCAACACGGTTAAACACCATTTTTCTGCAGCATATACTTTTAACAAATCCCACAGGAAGAACATATGGTTGGTCTTACATGAAATCGACGTTTGAGAGAGCGGTATAAGTGATCGGGATTCCTCCTGTCAGTTTATTGAAGCTAAGATCTCTGAAAGGAAATCCTCAAGAGTGTTAGATTTTAGTTTCTTCTTATCCTCACACAGAAATTTGAAGGTTTTCAGGAGAAACAGAAACAAACTGACAAGTTTTTTAAGGATGTAAACTGTCCAAGATATGCCGGTAATTCTCCCGTAAGATTGCAGTTCCTAAGAATCCTGAAAAAGTCGATCCAGAGAATGGTAAGTGAAACCGAAAAAGAAAATCTCGTTACCGAATTATGTCAACTCGCCAAGTAAGTGTATACATCTTCCAAGTCTCACTCACAGTATCTTTAGCTTCGTCATGTTTTGTAGTGGTGGAAATGCTGATTCCGGTCCGCTTAAGTCACTGATCCTCCTGAAATATTTCGAGTAACAAACGCTTATGGAGAATCCGTGGATCGTTACAGTGATTAACGATATGAATAATGGTGTATAATATATACTTACAGGTCGGTTAACTTAGCAAGAGGAGCGATTGCGTCGGGAATTGGTCCGACCAGACCACTTGCCTGAATAACCCTGAGGCCGAGAAAACAGCCGAGGCAGATTAAGAACTAACGCGATATGCCAAATGAAAGAACTGAAACTGCGAGGTTCTTACAGTTTCCCGAGTTCTGTCCAGTTCTGTATGAAATCTGGAATAGCTCCGGTAAACTGATTGTCGCTGATACGGCTACATTTCAATCAAGAAGATAAAATATCAGAATCTCGAGAAGGGATTAAGGCGCAAACTGATACTTGTTTTGATACCGATCGAAGAACATCACAAGAAACTTACAAATCAGTCAATGTGGTAAGTCTAGCGAAAGTGCTCGGGATTTGGCCGCTGAAATTGTTCGATCCGAGAAGGCTAACCAAAAAAGAAGCAGTTTCATAAACACCAAGAAAGCAAAGAATTATCCAAAAACTTTGAAGCAGAACTTGGAGAAAGAATTCTTACATTCTCTCAATGCTTGATAAATTCCCGAGCTCTGGAGGTAATTCCCCAGAAAACTGATTGTATTCCAAAACTCTATGACGATACAGAGGAAACTGAATCAGTCACTGAATAAACATAGACTGAAACATCAACAGATTGAAGAGTAACCATGAATTGGTCTGAAAATCTAATACTCACATACTGACAAGAGTGGAAATGTTTCCCATCTCTTTCGGGATCGGACCCATTAACCGATTTCCAAGGAGGGATCTGCATTTGCACCATCAATGTCACTCCACAACTGTATTTGCATAGTATGATACACGAGGATTTGTAAATGAGGAGAAAATATGAGTGGATACATGTTGACAAGTGGTAAAGCGCCCCATTCAGGAGGGATTGAACCGTTGAGATAGTTTCTTGATAAATCACTGCAGATGAAGAGTGACAGTTAAGTTAGTTAACCGACGTGAAGGGTAGCAAGAGTAATAATGTGAGCTTCTCAGGGGTAAAACCGGAAAACGTCAAAGAAGAGTACTGTCCGTTTCGCTTACATCTGTGAAAGGAACGGAAGCCCGACCATCTCTGCCGGAAGGTTCCCTTGAAGATTCTGCGACTTCAGTTCTCTGTTCACATATTAAAAAAAAAAAATCAAAGTGGGCTTTCAGTTCATTTTCAAAAGCCCAGTACCATTATGTAAAAGCCCATATTCATATGTAATATTCACATATTTCTATTTAATGAAAAATAAAAAATATATAAAATTATTTGTTTTACGAGGCAAGGCAAGTCAAGGTCAACATAGACGGCGTCATTGCACAGGTTCAGGCATCTAAACTGTTTTATTCAATAATTGTATTCGTGATTAGACGTAAATCATCTTAAATTAAATAAATTATTTAATTGACAACTAATTTCTTTTTTTTTAAAGCACCAAGAGTTGATCCTGTCGTATTGTCCGTACAAGCCACATTTTGGACGACGTCTCCTTTCCTTTTTTTTCCTCACCAAATTCATGATTAATACCTTTTTTGTAAAATTATTCAATAATATCATAATTATTAATCTTTAAAATCTGATTAACAGTAAAAAATGCTAAGATTTCTATATTTGTGATTAAAAATAGTATAATCAGATAACGGAAATTTTAAAGGAGGATCATGCATCTGACCGTTGAAATCCTTAGACCGAATTTATAATCAACCAGAAAAGGGATAAAATAAAAAGATGAAGAAGAGGATAAAAAAATAAAACCTACATGCTGGTGACGTGGCAGACGGTTCCGTTAACGAATGAGCAGTTGCAAGTAACGGCGTCTTCAGAGCCTTTGTTGGCGTTAGGGTTCCGCCAACCACCGGTCGTCGACGCTGAGTCGCATGGATCCACACTGAAGTTCCAGTTCGTCTTCTTCAACGCCTTCGCTATCCCCCTCAACGCCTCCACTGCGCACATGTGTGTGTACATATATATCATACACACGCACACGAATATATACATACACATATATATATATATATATACAGGCATAGAAATGGTGATTGATTTCGTACCTTCTTGGGAGGGCAAAGTTGCAGAAGATGAGAAACCAGAGAGAAGGAGAGAAATGAAGAAGGAAGTGAAGATGAACCGATTCAACAACATTTTCGATTACTCTTCAAGATCTGAGAAATCCAGAGATCGAATCGACAACCGTTCGAAGCATACGATTTTTTTTTAAAATTTTTTTTTAGAGAGAGAGACAATGAAAGTGAAAAGAGGCTGTTTCTCGGGTGTGTTTTGTAATGAGATCGCAAGAAAGAAAAGTCAACAATAATATTTATGCAAAATGTATATTTACGTATTATCTTCGTGTATATATGTATGTGTGTGTGTGATATTTAATTTAGTATTTGTGCAGACGACTAAAACGTTGAAATAATCTGATGGTTTCTTATTGGTTAATGTATTCGCAACTTGCATGTATAGAACAAAAGAGGGTCATGGCCCTACTCGACAAATAATTCAATGATTCTTGCTGGATATATATTATTTTATTCACGCAAGTGTTTCTTTTAAAATCTTGATAAAATTTAATTTAAATATCAACTAAATTTTCTATTACAACTTCGTCATGGTTTCCATTTCATTACAGATTATATATATAAATTTTCTATTACAACTTAGTCAGAAGCATTGGTGCACTTAGTTTTAGGGAGTGAATTTAATAATTTAGAGAGTGCATTTTTTAGGCATAGAAATTATGTCATCCATAAGATCTTAGTGTTAATTAAATATAAATTTTTATTAAAGGAGAAAGAACTTGGGAAGTGATAAAATTCTTGAGCATTTAACGTTTGGAGACTTTACATTACTTAAATAATAGATTGAGTGTATATGTATGTGCATGCGGTGACGAAATCATATAATTCCCGGCTCTGAAATAAATATGTTATGTCCAATGCGAACAGCAATAAATAAATAGGGTAAACATTTGTGAAATAATAAGATCTTATATTGGAATCAAACATTACTTAAAAACAATTTACATATAATTTTTTTAAAATCAACTATTTCAAACAAGTGATCAAAATTAATCCTTTTAAAAAAGATCAAATTTGAATCGATTTTAAATATAAATATAAATTGAAATTAAGTATTACTCGAGATAAAAACAGCTTTATAAAATATAATAGATACGATTTTTGTTATTCTACAAAATTTAAAATAAACTATCTAAACAACGAAAAATAATTGCTGAGATAATTCGATCAAAATAGGATCAAAATCTTAAATTATGACCCCTATAAATAGCAGTTGCGTTCGATGTACGATTACATAGCTACACGGTCGAATTATTTCGGCAATTGGACACAGTAAAAACAATTATTAGATGGTTGGCCGATGCACTTAAATGTAAGAATATTGTTTAAAATAAATATGTTGGCTTTTAAATAATCTCTCTAGAATAAATAATTTATATTACTAGGACAAAGTAATAAATTGGTTCTAAGTTTTGTGATTTACATGGTAAAAATACAATTACCAAAAAGTTAAAAGTTTATGATGTATAATAAATATAGATATATTTTAGACCAAACCCTGAGAAATAAAGAAGGTAAGGCAAGAGCCGGTTCATCGAATGTTTAGGGTAACTATTTTTTTTTTTTACCTTAACCTTTTTTTCTTATTGAGTGTCGTGCATTATGATTTTTATTTTATTTTATTTACAAGAGCTAGGGCCATAAATAACGCTATAATTGAATGCTGTTGGAGTCATTTGTAGAATGGCCATACTGCAGAAGGCACACGGTAGGTAGCCACGTTGGAGACAGCCTTTTTATTCATTTCCTCGAATATATATAATGTTTTAATTTATTTTTCTCCGAAATTCTATATGAAATTTTATGTTTGAAGGTGGGGTGTGGATATCCGTTAGTTAATTTTAACCTTCATGATTAAATTTTTTAAAATTTATATTTGTTCAATTTTCGTTAGGTCGTTTTTAGTTCGATTTTTCGTTGTTCAGATTATGTTTGTATTTAATTTGAATTTATATTTTATTATTTTTATTTATTAAACAAATTATTTTCAATTCCATTTTAAAAATTTGTTTAAAAAATTATATTATTGTTTTATAGATTCCGTTAAAATACATGTTATTCGATTTAATTTTAAGTTTTATCAAGATCAAACATTTAGATTTTAGATTTTTTATTCTAAGAGAGTCCAAAATAATAAAAAAAATATTTGGCTCTAATGACCACATTATTTAGTAACAAGAGAATATAAATGCACACATTTGATTAATTTGGATTTTCAAAAAGAAAATTGCACCCAGCCCAAAATCGTTAAGACATAAAGCAAAGAGGGGGAAAATAGAATTGAATAGTTTTAGTTTCTTGACATTTATATTTTTGGAGAATGTATAATAAATTGAATAAGAGGGGGTTTTATAACATGTGATGTAGGTTGGAAAGATTTTAATTATTAAGATAAAATCATCCATTCCGAATGATACAGAAATAAACTATGTAAAATAATGGGGAAAATGGCAGATAAATATAGGATTTTGCCAAAAAAAAATTGCAATTTCATGTATTATTAATCTGGCAGTTTACAAATTGATGTATTTATTGATAATTTTTTTACCAAATTGATGTATTTATTTGCCATTTTCTATAAAACAATGTAAAGTTTGGCTGCTTTGATGTCGGGCGAATAATGTGATCAATCAACGACGGAGAAAAGTCTCTCTTACCTTTTATTGGTCTTTATCAAAGGAATTTCACCTTTTGCATGGACAGAACGCTGGGGGGGGGGGGGAGT